AAAAGAGAAAAACGCGTTAAAGTTTGAGAAGCCGTCACTTGATGCTGACAAAATAAATCGGCTATATCTTCAAGAATTTTTCACTTGAAATTTTGTAGAGACATTCTTGAATTAGTGTAGAATCGAATTAAATAAAAAAATTTGACCCCGAGAATGGGTAGGTCCCCTTAAATAAAACAGAACTGTAACAAAGCTTTTTTATGCATTTTAAAAAACAGAATTAAGAAAATCAAAACAGTTAAATTTATTCTTTCCTATAAAAGTTAATTAAACGATTAGCCTCCCGATAGCCGGACTCAACAGCTCCATGAACGGTGGAGAAATGATGCCTGCTAGTGGCCTCGCCGGCAAATAATAAAACGGGTTTCATATTTTTCGAGCAAATGGCAGCGGCTTCATTCGCCGCATCATCGGCAACAGGTCCCTGACTAAAAACAGACGTCGAAGAACAACTTTTATTAGCGGGAATTTCAGATATCGGCACCGTCAAAGGTTGGGCTAATTGCAGAGCCGAAACATTCAGCTGTTCACTTAACATCGAACGAAAAGAGTAGGCTCCCAGAAAATTCGAATTCGACTGCCAGCGACTAATTTGTACTTTCAACGGCTGGGGAATTTCCCATTTCCAAAGAAAACGTCTCAGCAAATACATACAACCGTCTATTACTTGATCTTCTGGCATTTGCTCCAATTTCACAACATACGAACCGACAATCCAGGCTAATAGGACCCGGGGTTGATAATTAACACAATAGAAACCGAAAATCTCTTCTACCCATTCATAGGGAGTGCGCTGTAAATCTTCCAGGTCGCGTTTCAACCACAGCATTGTAAAGCCATACCAATCTGTGGGCCAGAATTGTACTGGAAATTCAAGGAAAATTTTACCAACACTTCCATATCCCAACCCAACAATGGCTAGTTTCTTTTGCATTGGCAGTGGAGGGTGGAACATTGATTCCAGTTTGTCTTTTAAAACTCCCAAGGATACGGTGATGATCACATGGTCAGCTTCATATTCCTGTGAACCATTGCAGCAGCGAACTATCACCTTGCCATTTCCCAAATGCCAACGAATGTGCTCCACGGGACAATTGAATTTAATTCGGTCTTCCAGTTCACCAAAAGGCCGTTCCTCATTAGAACCCATTAGCAGGTGTAGGAATCGCACATAACCCTTATCTTTCCAATTCAACAGATAATCACCCGGACATTGCCAATATTCGTGGATACCCTTAGCCGATACTTCCTCCATGCCAGAGGCGGTTTCGGAACTTTCAATTTTTTTGAAATTCTCCAAAAATTCCCATGCCACTTCCTTGTCAATTTTTGTATCCGATAAATCTCTTAAAACTTCTTGAAAACGTTCATTGAGAAAATCACCAAACGAACCTTCGAAGCTATTCAACTCCTCCGAATGATTTTCCAAAATTCTTGTCAATAACGTCTTTAAAAAATCCGTTGTGTCCTTCCTCAACACCTCACCATTTGAGCGTATACACTCGAAGCTGTTATAAATTTCTCCGGTCGTTTCGAGCCAATCATGCTGTTGTACCATTTCATAGACAATATTTCCCCTCTCACCGTGGACCCATTGGGCACCCAAATCGATTACATTATCAGCAAATTGTTGGGTAAATATTCGACCACCAATACGATTTTCAGCTTCGAGTATTAAAAGATTTTTAAATCCAAATTCTAGAAGTTTTGTGGCACATGATAATCCCGCGGCTCCCGCACCTATTATAATTATATGTGGATCGGGAGGAGGAGTAGGCGCTGTAATGGGCATTGAACTACTTTTGGTGGCAATCAGAGAACTTCCAATACTGAATATAGAGTCATTGGACATTAAATGTTGGGCTACATTTTCAGATCGGCATTTCTTTTTGCGAAAATATTTCTGCAACAGTGCTCCGAAACACATTTTGTTCGCGGTGTTGAAATTTAGAGGTATTTGTTTTTGCGGATTTTTATTAACATTTTCAAATGTCACAATTTTGTGTTTTTATTCAAATCTTTTTTATTTATTTTTTTTACACCATTTCCACAATACGTTTAGAATTAGAATATAGGAAGAACTTGGAAAAAATTGAACCACCTTAAGGTGGAGTGTATATTAAATTTACCATTCCGTTCGCAACACCTCAACAAAGCTATCGAAGACCCCATAAAAGTTGCTCTGAACAAAATGCTATGTCGATTTAGCCATGTTTGTTTGTCCTTCCGTCTTTTGAAATCTCGATACAGATCGCAATAATTTAGATAGAGCTCTGATATTTTACAAATATTTTTAATACCCATCACATGGTGGTGGGTATAAAAAAAAATTCAACCCAGTCGAAACTAGCGACGTTTTTACTTGTCGCTCTCCCAAAACTAACTAGTAAATTATAGAAGAACTTTTATTTTCATCAATCTGTCTTGTCTATTTCCAATTTCAAAAACTTTGGAACCTGTATTAGTCGCGCGTAGAATGTGACGAAGACAGGTGTATGGGTTTAGAAAATGTGTCGTGTGGTTCTAGTTTAATTGCTGGACATGTGTTAAGTATTGCGTGATGAATCCTTATCCCATACGAATTGAGTCGATCGCCACTTTCGTCTTCTTTGTCGATTCAGGTTAATCTGCTACAATTGCGGGGAATGGTCGCCAAATGCAACATTCATATGAGCCTCTATGATAGGTGCGAACACCTAGTCGTTTATTCGTATACCTTTGGGCCTCTCTAGATAAAGAAGATCGTACCTGGCATATTGACTGGTATAATCTTCGTATTCTCATAAATATATATACTTAACTGGTGTCATGAGCAGACACTCTGCTGCAGGACAGCGTTCTAGCAGGTCTCAATCAATTCTTTCACAAATGTCATCAATGATGGGATCCGACGTCATGATCATACAATAATATACACTCCACAAAGTAATAGTACGTTTACATTAAACCGGATTTGGTTAACCTAGTGGGTTTCAATTGTCAATTCCTTTGCATATATGTCAAATAAATCCTCATAAAGAAGGTTAACCCGGTAAAAAGTTGTAATGTATATACCGTTTAAAGCAAACACAATTCAGTCAGAGGGACACCGACTTTCACACATACATATATTTAAATATCGGAACATATGAGGATAACCATATATACATATAATTCTGGCCTAATAATCAAACCAATTGTCGAATCACTTTTTCCACTCCAAATGAGACAGGCCCCAAACATGGTTTCCGAACGTTTCAACAACATCTGCTGGCTTAGTCTCAAACACACCATACTTATCAAACTATTTGTTCTAATAAAAGAATTTGATCTGTGGATGGGTTTCCCATCGTGTGCGTAATAAAATCTTATCAGCGTTGCATGTGGGATTTTAGACTCTTGTCTTAAAACACTCCAACGATCAAATCTTCTGTAATACAAAATGATGTTCAAAGTATTTTGAACATGCTGATGACTGGCAAGAAGAGCTGACAAATTAAATTTCTGTGCATGAACTATAATTAAGGAAGAATAAATTGACTCCACCCACAAGTCGTCGCAGCCAATTATCTATAGAACCTCCATCACAAGTTCCTCCACATTGATCTACTACTTTCATTATATAGCCAACAACGTTTTTCTTAGGCAATTTCTCCTTCCCCTCTTCATTAACCTACGATAATGCACATGGAGTATAATGTTTGATGTTTCATTTCATATTCTGTTCCCGCGTTAACTAATGTTTTTTTTCCGTTTTTGCATGTTTTCCTATGCGTCAGCATCCCTCCAACATGGGAGAGCTTAACTGGTTTTCTAAATCTGGAGAAGTTAGATACAAGTTAAATACAACACAATGTAAATTACCATCGAGCATTGGTAAATTGCATTCCATTTTCACCCCAAATGTCACTTCTTTCTTGACTTCAACATAGATTGGGACAACATCACCATTTTCTTCTACATTGGTTTCTTCTACAATTTCTCCATCTATGAGGTAAACATGATAATTATCATGTACATTCTTGTTCCTGTTTTCCAAGATCCGTTCCGTCGTCTTTCTTTTTCTTCAGCTGGGTCATAAATCCTGCCTGGAAGAAATAGAGTGAGCTCCGACTTCTTCAAAGTCTACATTTCAATTAGCGCTGTGGTTATAGACACGTCAGGCAAATCATGTCTCGCGTCGTCCTATAGGCTAATTGCATAGTCGGCTTCATTGTAGATTTTCTCCAATGCAAAATCATACATTTGGGGTTATTGGCTAATATCGGAAAACAGAAGTCCAGATAATCACGCTTGATGCCAACACTTCCTTTGCAATGGTTTCACACTTTGAGTTATCCGTATTATTTCCGAATCTCTCTTCTCTATATATATATATATACATATAGCAGGATCAGCTGTGTAATACCCCGTATTGTCATGATTCGTCATAATTCTCACAGACGGGAGTAACTCCTTAGTGACAGAAGTAAAATTGGAATAAATCAGGCTTCTCCTAATTTGTAGCCTCCGAGTTCATCTCTGGTTGAACCTCTTCCACGGCCTAGCATCTCTCATTGGATGCTACATAACAACGTGGGATAGAATTCACACTTTAGTGGTGTTTTGTCTGATACCACGTTTAGTGCTCTCTACAAACCGGTTGACTTGAAGACTATGGTATCCCTTTCTAGTGTCTTATGTGTATTTTAAATTTCTAAAGTATTTTTTATTTATTAAAAAAATATATGTATGTACATAAATATTTATAAACTATTCTTTAATAATTTGTGACTTAAAATCTAATTGTGAGGCAGGTTTAAATGACTCGGCATACAAGTCCAGCCTCTGAGTCATACGGAATGTCCAGAAGTCCTTAATTTGGCGGCATAAATTTAAATCGACTTCGGTTATAAGGAGACTATCTTGATCACGTGACAAGCTTTAAAATCATAAGAAGAAAAAGCGTTTAATATTTTGAACACTATCTTGACGTATTTGCATTTAAAGTTAATATTATTTGAATTCTTTTCAGTGTCGCATTAATCAAACTAAGGGGAAACATATAAAAAGTTATTGTTGGAATTGGAATATGCGTCCAGTTGATCTATGAGGCTAAAATCACTGGATGTGAACCGTTATATACAATTATTTTAACCTCACTCAAATTAACCCTTTCCGTGCTTTTTTGTCGAATATATTCGACATTTAAAATTACTCTCCTTCTTTGCGATTTTTCGGTTATCCAATGTACCGTTACAATTGATGTTCTTGTTTTGGCTGAAAAACAGACAAAACTGTCCGAGGGTTAAAATAATAATTGTTTTTTTCTAAACTCTGTGCCTTAAAATGATGTTAAATACAAAATTTTAGATTTTTATTCCGACAAAATTTTTTTTGACACTGAAAATATATCGTTCCGGAACGAAAAAGTCCAAATGAACTAAATCCGTTTATTTCGTTCCTCTAATTCCTTTTGCTCCAGCCAAATGAACTATTCCCAAGAAAGAATGATCGGTATAAGATTCGGCTATTTCGTTTTTTCAAGTTTCTTTTGCTCCAGTTCCATTTTGTTCTCGTTCACCTAGTTCCTTTAGGTTCAATCGTTGATTTAGATATGTCCGTTCATTGACCGGATTAACTGACGTGTACCATTGAACTAAAATAAACTATGGTGACTAAATTATCTAGTTCCTTTTGCGAAGTAAACCGAAAAATATCCAACAGCATCAGAAACGAGATTGTCAACCTCTACAAATAATATCACAAACATTATTATCACTTACCGGTGTTCTCGAGCCACCTGGTTCCGCTACATAACTGGAACCATAAAATGGTCCAAATACTTTATGAGCCGGTTTGTCATCACCCGATGTATATTCATTGGGAAATTCTTCATTACCCACACGATCAATGGCAACTGCAAAATAACTATTTGCAATGACAGCATTAGGGGGCTCGATAGACCACAAAGGTTCACTTAGCGCTCCCACCGTTGCCAAAGTATTGAACATAATTTCAGCACCATTTAAACCGAACATCATCCAATTTTGTGGATGATGGCGACCATAACAGATGTTAATGGCAATTTTACCAAATTCTGTTTCGAAGACAGGATGGCCAGTGTTACCCTCGCTATAATAGGTGACTTCATTGAAATCGCCAACACGTGGTATATGATTTTTACGATGTTTTCCCATATAACGACCACGATTCGATATAACAACTGAGGTATTCCAGATGGTCTCGCCATGTTCCATATCACGTTCCAATATCTATGAAATGATTACCGTATTATAGGTTTTGGCTAGTTCTTGTAGCATTTTCGTGGTGGGACCATGCTCGGCCTCTTCGGCAAAATCACACCAGGGAAATTTTTCACGGGTGCAAAAATGCAAATGGCATGTCTGTAAGAAGGATAATAGTTTTTTTTATTTTAAAATCAGTAAAACTTACTCCATGCCTCCTGCATACAAACAATGTTGACATCAGCCGCTTTTTCCATATGGCTTCACGTTGTTTCTCCAGTGGAGCAGTTGTGGGCAGTACAATCGAATTTTGTATGGCATTTAACGAGGACGGCATTCACTCTGTATGCATTTAACGCTGAGGAAAATTTATCGGTAATTGGATCATGCAGATCCTTTCCGACACAACGGGATGAGGGAGTCTTATCCATTCTATGTTGGTTTGGATGATTGTCCTAACCATCCTAAAACAACAGACACTGCAACAAAAGCACATTGCTCTGCTGAAGTATAGGATGGACTTTCGTCTCCTCGTCTCCCACTGGTGCCATGAGGAGGCACCCTATAGCAGTTCTCAGGTCGTCTATCTGACAGGTTCAGACCGACTTCTCCATTGCGTAGCACTAGTATTCGTCGACTATCGACTTGAGGACCTTATCTCAGATAGTTGTAGTTTGCGGGCCAATTTGAACATACTGTCTAATGTGACCGCGAGTATTTTGGTAGAGTTGATGGTCGGAATTGTGTGCTCCTTGACCTGCACATTCAATGGCATTCTCATATCCGTACAACGCTATTGTTCTGCTGTGTTGCTTGCCTGGCTTTCGTAGCGGGACCGCCCTGCCCATTGTTTAGCCTTTAAGAACGACGTGGCCATCGACAAATTTAGGACTTTGGTCAGGTACTCAAGTTCGTCTCGACAAACTGTCACAGTTTCATCGTTAAATGTGACTGAGGTCCTATCATCCTTCTTACCAGGGTTCGAGAGCGAAGTTGCAACTCTTCAGGTGCTCCAACCATTTATTCCGCTTATGCTCTGCTGACCTCCAACGTGAGTTACCTGACCCTGGGATCTGCTGGGTTAGGTCGAAGGAGCTCATTTGCTAGAGCAACGGCTTCTGGTGAGAAAATAGATATCCCTTTTTTGGTATTCGACCAGCTGCAATGATGTCCCGGAATTCCCTTTCTGCTACCCGTATATCAGAAGGAATGGAAAGTTATCTGGACGGTGAAATCTCTGAATTCTTGCCAGTTGGTTTACCTATTGTTAAAGATAGTGTGGAGTTCAGAGATGATGAAATCGGGCGTTTTACTTACGGAAACAATTATGGGGAATTGGTCAGAGACAAGAGAAATAACGGGCTGCCAGTTGGCGTCACTTGTCAGACCCGGTGACACAATGGTTATGTCTGGCGAACTTATTCTGGTGGGGGCATCCTAATTTACCGTACAGAACAGTATGTTTTAGAGATCGTAATATATGCGGATGATTGTACGATGATGACGTCGGAACCTATTTATTATTGACGAAATATGCGAGAGGGTAAACGTGTACGTAGCTGATCTTGTGAGTTCTTACCCTCTGAGGAATATGCCGCCAAATACACAACCACACTGTAGACCCCTTGGACTCGCTGAAATGAAGCTCCCACTGAACATTATGGGCGATGAAGAACAGATTCCGATCATCAGCTTTATCTTGGATATTTTTCACTTTGAGGTTGCAATTGCTTTTGTTTAGCAATCACAATTTTTTATACATTAAATTCACATAAATATTGCTTATTTTATTGCATTAATTAGATGTTAAGATGTTCATATTCACATATAAAAAAGAATACAATTTAATTCGTTGATTATCATGCTTTTATAACATTTTTATTTAAAAAAACCAAGTGGATACTTTTCAATGTTACTCACTATATATTCACATGGTTCGGTCAATGATGTGAGCAACTTTAGAGCTTAATTTTAATTTTGGGACTAACTGAAAAATTGAGGCAAGTCAGTTGGCAACCCTTAGTTATCCATAACATTCTCTTTATGCTCTTATATTGCGCTTGTTTGCCTATTCCCTTGTCGCTTTATTGGGTTTCATTTCCATTTCATTCACAAATAAACAAAGCATGAAACGAAACGCCACCCAAACAACAACAAAACGACATGTACCAGCTCAAGGTAGATATACAAGGTAGCCGCATAGGCGAATTTCTACAACAAACATCGGTTGTTGTATTTTGATATGTCAAAAATATTTTGCAAAAACAAACAGATTCATAAGATTTTTTTACACAAACTCTTGTAGAAAATGTTAATAAAGGTATTGCCAAACAAGCTCTTATTTGCACCAACAGCTGGGCCGATGCGGCTACAGTATTAAATATACCTTGCACCAGCTATACAAACAAATGCCGCACAGTGTTTGGATGTTTGTCAAACACCCATATATTTATATACAAAGTTTTCTTCTATTCATATAAGAGAGATAGAGGAGAGTGAGATGTGGACCATTTGACAACAATCAAAACAGAAAGATAGATGTGACTTATTGGATTTGAAAATCGTTTGGAAAAATTCTCGAAAATAGTGGAACACGCGTGCCATTCATCAAACAGTAGGTCAGGAATATAAATTGATAAAAAATCATACATATTCGTTTTTTAATTTGTTTGTAGATAAACCCGATAGGAAAATGCACATGAATACAAACATAATGATTTGAAATGTTTCTAAATATAATTTATATACATTTGTTAATTCGGGTTGAATATACATATATGCAGAACATTAGGTGGGGTGATTCTAGAAAGTAGATGAATAACTACACTGATGATAATGCGTAGTTTTTTTTTTCAACAAAAAATTAAATACGCAAAACTACATAATTATGAACATATATATTTTATTTTAAAATTCTAAGCATGATAAGAAGAATATGCGAATTTTATGATTAAAATTGTATATTTTTGAAGCAAAAGATTTAGATTAGTATGCGACATAGTGCACTCGTTGGAATTCTTGAAAAAATGGCTCCGGAGATTATTTTATTATTATTTAATCTTTTCTTTCTTAATATTTCAAATAAAAAAATGTTAGTACGCAGGAGGGAACTATGGTGAGATAATGGGTTTGAATTCTACAGTGAGAACAGAAGCCGTTCTTTCTAACTCGGACTTATCAGAGAAATTAATTATCAGTACTGAATGCATTGTGAGAATATTGTTGTATTGGTGTTGTTGACGTTTTAATTTTTTTATATCTTAGGGGTACACTTATATAAATATTAAGTCCTAATTTAGATTAGGCGAGTTTACTTGCGGCAAGTTTTTGTTTGTAGGAGAGAGGGGTAAGGGGAACAGAAATAGAAAAATATTGCTCGTACCGGCAATTTTCTGGCAATTCGTTTTCTGTATTTTGTTTGTAGTGTCAATTTCCACAAAAACATTCACAAAATGTAAAACAATATACTTTTGAAACCGAATTGCCTTGTATAGACGCATGAAGCAAGTTCAAAAGAGAACGATAATTGCCGCAAGTAAACTCGCCTAATATAAATCAGGACTAATACGGCTAGTATTTGGAAATAAAAATAGATGACATCAAAAATGAAATAAACTATTTAGTTGGCTTCAACATTTTTTAAAGAAAATATCATGTATGTATTGAATACAATGACAAATAAATTTTAATTAAATTGAAAAGTATTCAAATTTAATAAAAATATTTTTTAGCCCGTTTTTAGTTATCTGTTGAAGAAATGTCAAATAAACACAACAACCTGTCGACGGATATAATCCTATACTAATCCCCTAAAAACTATATGGGGTCTCCGAAGGATTTTGTGTTTTTTTTTTCAGAAAAATAGGAGATCATTTGCTTCGAAGTATTTTTTCTACAAACAATTTTCAATAAGTTACAAAAATATGTAAGGTCAGTAATCTGAAAATATCATAATAAATGGAAAAGTTTTCAATGAATTTGATTTAACTTCCAAGACAAAGACGACTGACCCTGTTTTGAAACAGGCTCGTACGCATTTATCTATGATCCGTCATTTGTGCGGGACTTAAGAAAGAAAATCTTTTTTATGATCAGGTGTTTTTGCAATATCAAATATAAGGGGTTTTTTTTTTGGTTCCTTCAGAAAAAGGAACATTTAGTTCCGTAGTCCCTTTTAGTTAAATTTTTGATTGGCGCACGACAGTTTATTCGGTAGATGGATTGGAGAATCTATATGAACGGTTTCATCAAATGCAAGTAACTGAACGAGAACAAAAACGACGACTGGAATAAAAGGAACTAAATAGATGAACGAAAGATCAAGTACCAATAATTCCTTCTGCGGAATAGTACCATTGAACTAGTTCGTTACGGAACGACTTAACTTAACGTGAGGGTCGGAAGATAAATTTATATACTGTAGTCACATTATCAGTTGTAAATTTATTTGTTTCTTAATTAGAACCTACACTAACTCATGGATGCTCATTTAAAATTTCAGGAGATATACAAAGTGAGTCTCAGTCAATAGTATCCACTTAGTTCTTTTATAATAAAAATGTCATATGTGCATATTAATCAATGAATTAAATTTTATTCTTTTTTATTAACTTAACTTAAAATTAAGGCAATAAAAAAAACAATATTTATGTGAATTAAAAATAAAAAAATATGATTTTAAACAAAGCATGCTTGAGATGTTATGGCTTCTAATATTGTCTATCAAGTTTTACATTAATATCAAGTTCCTCCCATAGATTTTTTACATTGTCTTTATTATTGTGTGTCCAACGTTCGTTATATATTGCCACTATATATGTTATCCGATTCTGTTCAATTTATTTCATTTGTTGAATTTGAGAATACTGCTTCATCCGTTCTTTATGATTGGTTGTAAGGCATAGATTTTATTGTCATATATCTCTCTTTAGGTACTACTTAAACTACTCTTGGTTAGCCTAGTGTCTAACACACAATTTGTTCCAATAAGAAAATTTCATCTGTGGAGGGTTTTCCCAGAGTTTGCGTAATAAAATCTTGTCAGAATTTCATGTAGGATTTTAGACTATATCTTAAAATACTCTAACGATCAAATTTTCTGTAATACCTTGTATTGATTTGTCTTGTCTGGGCGGCTGCTTTCGTTCGGGAACACACACCTAACAACATTCGTACAGAATTCTACTGCCAGGGCGGCTGGACCAGCATGTAAAAATTTTAATGTTGACGTCTGGTATGTCTCCATTTGTGAAGCTCTGAGGTCAGCGTTCTGGTCGGCCGATTATATTATAAAAAGTCAACATGATATCTTTGTCTGCGCCATTGCCTTCCAAAATAATGGTGTGATTGTTGGTCGGAATGTGATCTCCAATGGAATGCACATTTCGGCCTCCTGGTGGCAGACAATATGAATATAAATTTAGTGGGTTAATCTTCTGCATATCCTCAAACAGCTAGGCATGGTTGACGGTGTTAAAGGCCTTATGTGGGTGTCATCATAACTGTTCGGTTGCACGATTTGTTCTGGCTCAGTACAATTTTTATTAGCGTGGCATGTAATGCTGTTGTGGTACTATGGATTTTAATTAAATTGGGTTAGTGGAAAAGAAGTTCCTCTTTGTGACAGAATTAAAATTAGAATAAATCAGGCTTCTGATTAAGTAGAATTTGCAGGCTTTGAGTTCATTTAAATGCGTGGATTTGATTTTTATTTTGTTATTTTCGTTTATTTAAGTTTTTAGTTTTTAAGATAATGATTTTTTCATATAAGCATATAAGAAAGAAATCTCTGACTTTTTTGAGTTTCTTATATCCGATATCTACTGTATTGGTAATATATTCATTATAAGTAGTGGTGGTGCTTCCATCAATCTGCTGATGCTATATAACAGCATGAAATAGAAATAACCTTTTGGTGGTTTTTAGACTGATACTGTGTTTAGTGCTCGCTACTAACCTGTTGACTTCAAGAGTGAGGTATCCCTTTCCTGTTTCTTATTTGTATTTTAAATTTATAAAAGTATATTTTATTAAAAAATATGTATGTACAAAAATATTTATAAACTATTCTTTAATAATTTGTGGCTTAAAATCTAATTGTGAGGCACGTTTAAATGACTCGGCATACAAGTCCAGTCTCTGAGTCATACGGAATGTCCAGAAGTCCTTAATTTGGCGGCATAAATTCAAATCAACTTCGGTTATAAGGAGGCCATCTTGATCACGTGACAAGCTCTGAAAACACAAGAAAAACATGTTTAATATTTTGAACACTCTCTTAACGTATTTGCGTTTAAAGTTAAAATTAATTTGAGAAGCCTCTGGAATTGTCAATAGCAAAATTTAGGAGAAACATATAAAAGCGAAAACCATAACCACAAATATGCGCTTTGTGGATCTCTGAGGCTTAAATCACTGGATGTGAACATTTATCTACAATTCTTTTAATCACACTCAAGTTAATAAAGTTATGTCCTTCTGAAAAGAGCTTGTCCAAATGAAATATTGCGCAAAAGGTACAATCCTAGTACCAACCGTATTTTTTGCGGAATTGTTCATTTGGACAAGTTCGTTTCGGAAGGTCATTCGGTTATTTCGTTCATCAATTTTAATTTGCTGCAGTCGTTTCATTTCGTTATCATTCACCTAAATAGTCCAAATGAACTATTCCGCAAAAGGAACGTTCGGTACTAGATTCGGTTATTTCGTTTATCAACTTCCTTTTGCACCAGTCTTTCCATTTCGTTCACGCAGTTCCCTTACTTTCAATTGTTCATCTAGATCTTTTCGTTCTTTGGCCGAAGTACCGGACGTGTTCCATTGAACGATTAACCTAAAAGGAACTAACTTATATACCAAGTTCCTTTTGCGGAATGAACCGAAACAAGATCCAATCGCTACAAGAACGGGATTATCCAACTCTACAAATATAACCATTGAAAATAATAACTAACTTACCGGTGTTCTCGAGCCATCAGGTGCCGCCACATAACTGGAACCATAAAATGGACCAAATACTTTATGAGCCGGTTTGCCATCACCCGATGTATATTCATTGGGGAATTCTTCATTGCCGACACGATTAATGGCAACTGTAAAATAACTATTTGCAATGGCAGCATTACGAGCCTCAATTGACCACAAAGGTTCACTTAGCGCTCCCACCGTTGCCGAAGGATTGAACACAATTTCAGCACCATTTAAACCGAACATCATCCAATTTTGTGGATGATGGCGACCATAACAGATGTTAATGGCAATTTTACCAAATTCTGTTTCAAAGACAGGATGACCAGTGTTACCCTCGCAATAATAGGTGGCTTCATTGAAATCGCCAACACGTGGTATATGATTTTTACGATGTTTTCCCATATAACGACCACGATTCGATATAACAACTGAGGTATTCCAGATGGTCTCACCATGTTCCATATCACGTTCCAATATCGACGAAATGATTACCATGTTGTAGGCTTTGGCTAGTTCTTGTAGCATTTTAGTGGTGGGACCATGTTCGGCCTCTTCGGCAAAATCACACCAGGGGAATTTTTCGCGGGTGCAGAAAGCAAATGGCATGGCTGTAATAAGGATAATAGTTCGTTAAAATTTATTTTTTTTTATTTTCAAGTGAGTAAAACTTACTCCATGCCTCCTGCATACAAACAATATTGACACCAGCCGCTGCAGCGGCTTTTATCATTGTTGTCACCTTTTTCCATATGGCTTCACGTTGCTTCTCCAGTGGAGCAGTTGTGGGCAGTACAATCGAATTTTGTATGGCACCAATTTTTACAAGACGTGTTTTACGCATTTGTTCCTCCTTGGCGGTAATACGATAACCTTTGATCTCGAAGCCATGTTCCGCAGCAATATTTTTGGCTTCGGCGGGAAGTTCCAGAACATTGCTGTAAGGAAAATAATTATATATTTAGAAATAAGATTTATTGGTTTATAATACGTTTACATTATACCGGATTCGGTGGGTTTAAATTGCCAATTCCATTGTATATATGTCAAATAAATCTTCATAATGTATGTTAACCCGGTAAAAAGTTCTAATGTAAATCCCGTTTTATGCTTTAGAAAAGGAAGTACTCGAATGTTGAATTTTATGGATGAATTTGCCATAGTTTAAACTTAGTGTCCTATCAAAATGCAGTATTCCCCATCTGATTGATAAATATATGAGAGAGATGATTTTTCAAATTTCAGGAATATCTATAAAAATGTTATTAAAAAATATATAAAAAGTACAATCGGACTGAACAAATACACATTTTATTAAAAGCCAGTACAATTTCAATAATTTCATTTCGCATCCCTGGATGCAGCTACTTCCACAGGCTGCAATCACAGACCTTCTGGAGTAAGTCGATTACGTTTGGCAGAGCAATTGTATTGCGCAGTGTGGTGTGAGAACCTGTACCACATGCTGGACAGACATTCATCAATCCGTGCCCAATACGAATTGAGACGACTGCACTATTCTGAACGTAATTGGATCATAACTCTGGCTTGCCTGGGCAGCAGACGTTCTTCAGTTGCGATGGGAGGGTTGAGCTCCGAGGACGGCATTCACTCTGTATTCATACAGCGCTGAGGCAAATGAATCAGTATGGATCCTATTCAGATCTGCTTGATAGGCAACTTGACCTAGAGGCTCCCATTTATAACGTTGGACCTCTCTCTCTAGAACATGCAGATCCTTCCTTACAAAACGGGGTGGGGTAGTCTTATTCATCCTATGATGATTAGGAGGATTGTCCTAACCATCCTAAACGAACAGGTACTCCAACAAAATCATATTGCTATGCTGACGGATGGGAAGGACCTTCGTCTCCTCCTGGAGATGATCCACTGATGTCATGAGGAGGCAGAGCAATTGTCAGGTCATCGTTCTGACACGTCTGAATTCTTCTACATTGCGTAGCACTAGTATTCATCGACTAGTGACTTGAGGACCTTATTGTAGACAGTTGTGGTTTGCGAGGTCGATTTGAACATGCTTTCGAATGTGACCGTGAGTATTTTGGGTTAGTTGATGGTCGGAATTGTGTGCCCCTCGACCTGCACATTTAATGGCATTCTTATTAACGCTGTTGTTGTGCTGTGTTGCTTGCCTGGCTTCAGAAGCGGGACCACCCTGCCCGTTGCCCAGCCTTCGGGAACGACAAGCTCGCCTCTACCAGGGTCCTTCTTACCAGGGTTCGAGAGCGATGTTGCAACTCTTCAGGGTCTTCAACCATTTATTCCGCTTATGCTCTGCTGACCTCCAACGTGAGTTACCTGATCCTGGGATCTGCTGGGTTAGGTCGACGGAGCTCATCACGCTCATTTACTAGACCAAAGGCTTCTTGTGAGAAATTAGGTCTCGGAATTTCCTCTCTGCTACCCGTACATCAGAAGGAGTGGAAAGTTATCTTGTCGGTGAAATCTCTAAATCCTTTTCAGATGGCTTTCCTATTGTTAAGGAAAGTTTGGACTTCAGAGATGATAAAATCGGGTAGTTTAGTTATGGAAACAATTATATATATATCTGGTGAACTGTTACACTCTGCCCTTATTCCGATTTGGGAATAAGTGAAAGATTGAGGCAATGCAGTTGGCAACCCTTAATTATCCATGATTGTATTCTCTTTCTTTCTCTTTACGTCAGTTGTTTTTGTTGATGTTCTCTCAGTGCCGCTCCCACACATTTACTCTTAATTCTGTTCCACTTTGCTTTATTCTCTAATATTGCGCTCTTTTGCCTATTCACTTGTCGCTTTATTGCGTTTCATTTCCATTTCATTCACAAATAAACAAAGCACGAAACGAAACGCCATCCAAACAACAACAAAACTACATTCAGCAGCTATACAAACAAATGCCGCACTGTGTGACAAACAAACACAGTGTTTGGATGTTTGTCAAACACCCATATATGTATATACATAGTTTTCTTCTATTCTCATAGGCGAGATAGAGGAGAGTGAGATGTGGACCATTTGACAACAATCAAAACAGAAAGATAGATGCGATTTATTAGAATTGGAAATCGTTTGGAAAAATTCTCGAAAATAGTGGAACACGCGTGCCATTCATGCAAACAGTAGGTCAGGAATATAAAATGATAACAAAAACAATATTCGTGTTTTAATTTCTTTATAGATAAAACCCGATAGCAAAATGCACATGAATACAAACATAATGATTTGAAATGTTTATAAATACAATTTATATACATTTGTTAATTCGGGTTGTATATACATATATGCAGAACATTAGGTGGGGTGATTCTAGAAAGTAGATGAATAACTTCACTGATGATAATGCGTAGTTTTTTTGTTCAACAAAAAATTAAATACGCAAAACTACATAATTATGTATATATTTTCAAATTCTAAGCATGATAAGAATATTTGAATTTTATGATTAAAATTGTATTTTTTGAAGCAAAAGATTTAGATTAGTATGCGACATAGTGCACTCGTTGAAAATCTTGAAATAAATGTCTTTGGAGATTAATTTTTTTATTATTTAATTTTTGTTTCTTGATATTTCAAATAAAAAATGTACCCAGATGGGAACTATTGTGAGGCAATGTTTTTGAAATTCTACAGTGAGAACAGAAGCCATTCTTTCTGCCTCGGGCTTATTAGAGAAAATTGTATTGGTATTGGTTTGACTTTTAACATACCGTAAGGGGTCGTTTGAAATACATATAATGTTGAATTTGTTCTATAAAGAAGACACATCGACTGATATATTTCTATACTAAGCCCCTGGAAGTGGTGGAAATTGTATTATGTTCAAGTATATATATATATATATACTATAAGGGGTCTCCGAAGAATATATTGAGTTTTGTCGGGGAAATAGTCGACCAAATGCTTCGAACTGCTTTTTCCACAAACAATTTTCAAAGAATTTGACTTAACTTCCAAGACCCTGTGAATAAAATAATATATAAAAATAATATAGAATGCAAAGAGATTTAGAGTTATCTCACTGAATTTTCCTGAGTATATACGTGTATTCCTAAATCTATTGATGACATAGATTATCCACATCTATTGCATAAAACATCTGGAAAAATCTATAATGAAGCATTTAAGCAATTAGACCCCAGTATTGCGATATGCCATTTTTTATTTCTTTGAAAGTATATTTGTTTAAACGAATACTTTAGTTTATATTTTTAAATTAATTCAGCTTTCCAACACATACCAATTCCTGCCAAATCAAGCATCGCAAACTTTTCCAAAATGTTTTTGTATCAATCGACACAAGCTTTTGTTGGGGTTTCAGTTCAACTCTCCCACGAAGATCATGCTTATGTAAAAATCTTTTGGGCAACAAATCGAGTAATATTGATTTCACGTTGAGATTTTCCTAGTTCAGCATGGTAAGGAACTATTTTCATCTATGCAATCTACGTGTGGAGTCCCATGGTCTCAAATTCTCGCAATGGCTATCCTAATAAGCAAACTCACCCCATTCTCCGTTTCAAGAATTTAATTTTGTGTTTTGATTTAATTCGAATCTACATTAATTCAAGAATGTCCCTATAAAACTTCAAGTGAAAATCTCAACAACTCTTGAAGATATAGCCGATTTATAGTGCTAGCATGAAGTGACGTCTTATCAAACTTTAACACATTTTTCTCTAAACAGCGTTTTTTTTGTGAATGGCGGGCACGATAACTCAAAAACTAATAATCCGATCCATTCCAAATTTTAGGACGTTTCTCTGTGAGTGTATAGCTATAGTATGAACTGGAATAAATCCAGTCGGTCAAAATCTTCCTTATTTTTTGTCTTGGTTTGTGGTAAAAAATTGGCGATTTTTCAAAAAATATTTTGTACCCTTAAATTGTGAATTATTGTAAATTGTTCATATTGAATATATATAAATATTGAATATTTTATTTCTGGTCTGTTCCAGTTCTTTTTTAACAATAAATCTGGTGAAAGGGAATAATGTAAAAATAACTCTCAGAGTACAAAATAATTCGAAAAGTTCGAAAATCTAGTAAATATTTCAAAATTAGATGACATTACTTCAAAATCGACACAACTGAAGAAGTTAGCTTTCCACTTTACCACTTTTACTCGCCCAAATTGTTCGAGTAAAAACTTTACAAAGAGAAAGCCATTTTGTTTTATGTTCTCTTTAATTTGGTTGAAATTTTAACTAGTTTTGTGGGTTCAGGAACGGGTTTCTAGTAAAAAATTTCAAAACTGGCAAAATTTGTAGGTTCTTTCAGGTTCTGGAACAGAACTTTCATTTATTTTAAGTTAGGATGTTCATGTTCACACGTAAAATAAATTAAATTTTATTCATTAATGAACGAAAGAAGCGGTCCTAGTACCCATCGTTCCGTTTGCGGAACCGTTTTATTGAACTAGTTCGTACCGGAACGACTCAACTTAGTGTACCTAATTTTTAAAATTTATAAAAAAAAGTTAGAAAATTGGGAATAATGCTCCACTCCTGGCGCCCACAAAAGGTCTAAATTTTGTTGAACACTCTGATCCAAAGTTTTTTAGCAAACCAAATCCGAAGATGGGACAACTTCAATGTCTTCAAATTATGCAACCTATATTGGAACGCGATCGCCTTTAAATTTTAATGAAAATTCATATATTCAGGATTTGGCTGGATCCCTCTTTTACGTGTTTAGAACTGGTTCTGTTTTTGGTTCTATGTGCCATCAAAATCCTCTAAATAAATATTTTCCATGATATTTTTTATGAAATAATTTACGATCATAATTTGTATTCATGATAACTGCCACCTGACAATGCACTTTTTCTGAAGACAGTGGTTGTTGGTCTTATCAACAATATTTAGATTTTATTATTTAGTTAACATTATTTAATATTCACATCAGAACATACGTATGCAAATATACATATATCATTTCACGTATATTCCATTTCACTTGTATAAATGTTTGAATTAAAAAAAAAAACTGCACTCACTCATCTGATCTGCCGTATAGAATTCGCTTCACTTCTTTCAACTCATCGGCCGGTATATGTTTTTCGAGACATTCTTCTAAACTTTTAAAATTTATACTTGACATTTTATTTGGCGATATATTTTTTTTCCTATTATTTTCCTCAACGCTTTGAGAACCAATCACGTCTGAACCGTGTGCCAGCTAAACTACGAATGAATATCGATGTGAGCAGTGTCTTTTGTTGTGACCTTCCCTAGTAAACAAACTAGGGAGGGAAAGAAATAATTACTTATGAGAGGGAGAGAGAGAAAACAAAAAATGCAATCAGTGTTTCCCAAACTGTGTGTAGGGATGTATTTTATAGCAGGCACGGGCAGAGCGTAAAAAATTCTATTCTCACGCACTTGTCTTTGTGTGTGTGTCAATGGTTTTTCAATTGGTACTTACTCTCGCGAGAGTGCACGCGTGCGTTGGTTCGCCCGACTGTGTTTTATAGATACGCAGTATTGATATTATGTTAATAAAAATCAATAAAAATTTTATTTAAATAATAATTATTGTTTTGAAGCTGTTCAGAATCTCTGAATTAATAAATAAATAAGTAAATGCAGTAACTCTCAATTATTTTGATATTCTCTCCGACTTTGCAAAAATTAATTGCTTTTAGTCTCTGTTAAAAGTGGATCTGTTATTTTGTTTTTATATTTTGCATAATTAGTTTATTATTTCAGAGAAACAAAGATAACGGAGTTGTGTATACTTATATATTATATGTATAATCTTATCACAATTGCCTTACCCCCCATGATCATTGCCATAAAAAGCCGATCTGTACTCTATAAACGAACAAAAACACAAACTCATATACTCCCAGCATTTGATAGTAATTGAAGTAAACATTTTGCAATAAGGCTACTCAAATCACTCAATCGATACAAATTGACCCAAATATCGCGAGCAATATTCAGTTCAATCAATTAATAGAAATGCATTTATATCAGCACCAGGCAAAAAATACCACGCATGATCTCAGTGTTTGTAAAAAAATAAGAAAAACAAAACAAAAAAGTCTCAATATTTGTCCGCTTGGGTAGATATTTTGTACAGCTTGGTACTTTAGATTTCAAGCTTATGATGTGATGTGTTTTGTTTTGTCAAAATCAGTTCAGATTTAGATGTAGCTCTCTTATACAGTATGTCAAGAAAGAGTTTACACATGGCTAATTATTAAACATTTTCAACATAACTCTAATTTATTTGTTTTTTATCATAAATGTGTGATCCACCTAATACAGTCTGAGTCAAATAAATTAAAATTTAGTACAAAATAAAAGAACCTACTTTACTCAGCTGGCTTGTGACAGAGCATTTGTTCCATAAGCCGAGTTTGAAAAATATTTCAAGGCGCGTCTGTCTTGTGCGCAGCTCTTCCAATTTGAAATACTATGTTCCGAAATGTTGTCTTCAACTTGATCTTTCCATCGAATTTTCCCCATCATCCGGTCTTCCCCTTTTACGTTGGCTCCCTTCTATATGCCTTTTAAGCATCGCCATCCATTCTCACAACATGACCTAGACAACGTTGTCACTGCAGCTCGATACGTCTGACTATGTCAATGTCCGAGAATAGATGGTGCAACTCATGCTTTATTCGAAGGCGATATTCACCGTCGACGCAGATACGCCCATAGATCTATCGGAGAATTTTTCTTCACTATTCTTCTCCGGATTTCAAAGCAGATGTTATTAGTTTTGTTTATGGTGACCTGGTATAAAATCATCACTATCTCGAATATGTAGTTTTCTAGTTCCGTAGTTGGTCCGAGTCTACTGGATGTCTTGCACGTTGACCATAAGCTTGGTCTTCTCGCCGTTTACTGTCATTCTCTCTTTGGCAGACTCCTTGTCCATTCGTTCATAGGTGGCCGTTTCTGCTCGTAATGTTCGACCGATTATGTCGATGTCGCACAGTGTCACGACCGCGACCAAAAATGGTCAAAACCAAGTATCACGGAGGACAAATTTTTTGATGAGGATTGATAGAAAATACTCCAATTAGAATGAATATGAAATTTTATATCGATATGTCGAGTAGTTTGTCTCTACAAAGGTTCCAATCTGATAATTATTTATAAACTACTTTTTACCATATTTTCGAAAAATATGTGTTTTTCTGATGCTCAAATATTTGAATATTCGAATTAACGGCTATTATAAAAGTGTTTATTTTGGTTGCTGTGGATGTAAAAACTAGGATTCGCTTTAGTTGGTATGTATATAGATATCAAATGGTGTATACAGTCGTCCACACTTGTAGTACTTAGTTCATCAAATTTTTAAAAACAATTTTGAAATTAGTGGAGCAGAAAAAAAAATTAAAAAGTTTAGCTCATTTTTTTTATTTGAGTGGTGAAAAGTGTGTTATTTAAGGAATACAAAAATTAGCTGCGGAGTCCTGCGGCCCTAAGAGTTATTTAACTTTTTTGGTGACCACCTTATGAAAAAATATAACATATTCATGAAATGGTTAGAAGCGAATGGTCAAATATGTTATGTATACAATTAAATACGTTATTGAGGGTCAAATAGGAAGGAGAAGATGGATTCAGAACATAGTAATAATACAATATTTTACATAAAATATGCAATTAAGTGGTAAAAACGTTATTCGATGCTGAGATATGGGAGAATTGGTTTTAAAATATAGCTTTTAAATAAATTTTCAGTCAGTTTAAGATTATACTTATTTATCAGATCATTTGAGACATAATCTTATAAACTAAATTTAGAGGTCGCACATGAATTTGTGGAAAGTTCATACATTTAAATATTAGTTCATGGCATGGGATATGCAAAGTGCAGTACAATACCTTTTGAGCGACTTTCACAAGATGCTAACAAGTCATGCCAACAAATAATTAGTAGCAGCCCGAACTTTTGTTAAAGCCGAGTTAAATAGGGATTTTATTTAGAATTTTATATTACAATCCGACCTTGTAATATCCTTAAACAGTCATAAAGTAAAGGCCCGAGATTATAACGTGGATGATACTAAATCGTACATTTGGAAAGACAATATTATATATATATATATATATATATATAAAGTTACATTTTTTGGGACTTTTGGTATGGTAGGTACCTGAAATTTGGGCCAACAACTAAATTACAACACCTATTACTGAAATGTTCATGTCTTCGTCCAAATTACATCATATTTGGGCGAAAACATGAACATTTTCATGCAATTTGTATGAATATAAACAATTTATAGGTCCAAAAAGCGGATTTTTCAAGACCCTTTGTATGGGAGGTATATAAAATCTTGGTCCAATCTACCCAGTTTTTGGTCTGTTTTCATTGAATTTGGTTAAATATTAAAGATATTCAACCAAATTCAAATGCATCTGTATTTGTTGCCGACCGCTGCTTTAGAGTCTAAACGCAACCAGAGAGTCAAGAGTCACCGTCATAGTTTTTCGCCGGTGTGAAAACCAAACGAAAGAGTTTGCGTTAGCGGCACAAAATGTCAATTATTTGTTTTCATTTTCTGACAGAAAATTTTACGTTGTGCAAACCAAAATTAATTTATTATTTAATAAACAATAATGTCAAGGAACTCGGGGAAAATCATTAAAAAAAAATAATTTTCTTCCATTTTATTATTAAATCGTTAAAAAAAACGTCCACAATCTTTGAAAATATTTGTTTTTTTAACAGCACTGCCATATTTTTTATATAAATTCTCATTGAAATTTGGTAGCACTGTTGATTTTTACCTAAAATATGCCAACTCAATTGAGAGCAAGAGAGAAATATTGAGTATGACGCTGAGCAAAAATGAATAAAATCTATTCTAGCGTCAAAATTTGGCGCAGTGTGAAAATCTTGGGTATAGTGGATTTGCCAGGTCTGAAGCCACATTGGTATGGTCCAATAATGCCCTTGACCATTGGCTTCAGTCGTTCACTCAGTATATGTGATGGGAAGGAGACACGGGACACTGGATGCTGAGGTTCCAATCATTGGTCATGCATTTCTCTAGCCAAATTTTACTTATCAGATGGTGCGTGCACCTGACCAGCATCTGACCATCGGTCTTGAATAGTTTGGATGGTAATCCATCGGCACCTGCTGCTTTATTATTCTTCAGTCGATAGGTGGTATACACTTTATACCATAATCACATATTAGTTCAGTGGTATCTTCTATTTGATACCAGAATCTTGGCAAAATGTTCCTTCCACATTCTCAACATAGGGAATGATATATATCTGTATCTGTCACCAGGTTTACATCTTCAACTCTACAAGAGGATGTGCCTGCACCAAAGCCTTCGGTGTGGTGTTTTACTCGTTGGTAAAATTTCCGGACTTCGTTCTGACTCCTGTACATCTCGATTTGCTCCCACTCACCATTTTTTGTTCTTTGTTATTTTTTCTGAAAATATGCTTCTCCTCTCTCATTTTCTACTGTTTGCAAGGTTGACATATACGCAGCGTTTTTCACATCGGTAGCATTAGGACACTCCTCATCATACCACGGGTTTCTTGCTTTTGCTGCAGTTTGTATGGAGTGGACAATTCTTTGCCATCGTGCAAAGAATGAATGCTTTCGTGAAGCATGTGGCTTCTGCTATCTGTTGTTTGCAGCTATTCGACGTCGAGTTTCCGCGTTGCTGCTATATTAACACGGGTGCGAACCTTGGCTGCCACAGGGTAGTGGTCTGAATCGATATTCGCTCCTCGGATAGATCGAGAGTCTAAAACACTGGTTGGATGGTTTCAGTCTATCACAACATGATCAATTTGATTTCTCGTTTTTTGATCGGAAATCCAGGTGGCCTTGTGTATATCGAGATGCTTAAATCTGGCGTTGCTTACTACCATGTTTTTTTGTTTTTGCAAAATAGTGAGGCTGAATCCCAGTTTGTTGTTTTTTTTAAAAATCAATTATTTATTAGTGGGGAATGTATGGTATTGTCCGCCGAGGGGTAAGGGACCTCAATGAGAATTTCGTTTCGTTGGCGCCTGACTTTGTGGTCAACAAGTCATTTGCAGACAACTACAATACATTTCTTCATGGAGGCTGAATTTTCCGACGTTGGGACCAAAAATATTTTGATTAAAAACTCCTAATGTC